AAATTAAAATGAATAAAAAGTTATTTCAAATTGCCCGGGATGGATTAAAGAAATTGAAATATTAGAGGAAACGCCAACAGGTTAAGGAAAATAAAAAAAAGGCTAAGCGCTGATCTCACGTCGATCACAACATACAGATCACCCGGCCGAGACCGAGAAATTATTGCATCAGGATTCGACACGTAGAGTTACGTGCGAAATTCAATGAAATCATGTCATTTGACGGTGACAGAAAAAAATATAAAATTTGTTCGGTAATATAAGAGAATATTCTTCTCGTATTATTCATGTGTTATTCATGTGTTATTGTGTATTTTTTAGGTGTTATTGTGTGTTATTGTATTATTAAAACCCTCAGAATATTCTCAGAACACAATAACATCTGAATAACACGAGAAAAATATTTTCATGTGTTACCAAGCTTTTTTTTTTTTTGTACCTGCTGAGTCCTGATGCTATAATTTTTCCCCAATACCTATGTATATATTTACATATCTTACACCTAAATTTTAATATTTACATACAAGCCATCTTATCTACGCATGAAAAAAATTATTTCACTTTTTAAAAATTATAATGGTGAAATTTCTATGCGATATGAAAAATTTAAGTGGTATAACTATAAAAAGTAAGGTTTAAGTGTTAGATATGTAAATACATAATAATTTATTATTGGTGGTATGTATGTAAATGCCCTTTCCTTCTAAAATTTATATGCATAGCACACAATTTTTATGTATTTACATATCTATCATCTAAAATTTGAAATTTACACTTATAACATTTTGGTGTTACAAAATTATGTGGCAGAAGCTATATGTCACTTTTATAGAGTTAGCCAGAGAGGTATTTTTGATGTGATGTCAAAGTTTTGAGTGTTATACATGTAAATAGAAATGTTTAGGTGTTGCAGATGTAAATATATAAGAATTGGGCAGCTTGTGCGTTTTAGGATAAACAATTTAGTGTAAAAATCCAAACGCGGCAGACAGCGTTTTAAAAAATGCCGCCGCACTTATAAGCTGCACCAAACGGGCGATTAGTCTCAAACCAATTAATGCTTCTACATATTAATATATTTGATTCTCAAGTCTGCCAAAGATAAAGACTTCATCCCAATTTTATTTTTTTCTTTATTTCATTCCAATGAGTAATGAGTAAAAATTTAGGAAAATTATGTAATAAATTAATAGATATGTCAGCAGGCATTTAATTTGCATAATCTGGCGAGAGATTTCACCTAATTTACTTTGTAAGACTTCCTCTTACCGTTATGGATTTATAAATTTTTATTTGAATTTCATAATAATTAATAAATAAATATCACATGGCATAAGAAAGTCACTTATGATTTTATGCATTGCAACTATTTCATTTAAGGGTCTATGTGGGGGCAGCTATAGCTTATTGAATAATTTGCTGATAAGCTGATTAAAAATAATCTGCTAATAAACTAGGTGTGGTGACTATTACAAATTTTTATTTTTTTGGAAATGTCAGACCATTGCCAATAAGCTCACACCGCACCTAGATAGGTACGGCGTGAAAACGCTGTTTTTTGCTTTTTGAAAACACATAAGCTGTCAAAACGCAATTTACCCAAACAAGTCAGGTGCGTTTTCAAAACGCCACCACACCAAATAAGCTGGCCCAAACGGGCCATAATACACAGCAATATCATCTTATATTTCATTATTTTTTAAATGGGCCATTTACTTACATACCACTTAATTCCTATGTATTTACATAAATTTCACTTTTTGCATTTATATCACCCAAATCTTTCATGTGATATAACAAAAAAAAAATTAAGTAAAATACACATTGCCATGCAAAGGTGTATATATATATATATATAT